TGATGATGATGATGATGATGATGATGATGATGATGGTGGTGGTGGTGGTGGTGGTGGTGGTGGTAGTGGTGATGGAGATGGAGATGGAGATGGAGATGGAGATGGAGATGATGATGATGATGATGATGATGATGGTGGTGGTGGTGGTGGTGGTGATGATGATGATGATTGAAATGACGACGAGGAGGGGGAGATAGTTGAAGTACACGCAGAACAAGGTTAAGATAAGATTTATTTCAAAGATTTCAAGGAGTAAAATGCTTATCACTGAATTTCTGACAAGCACATGCCGTCCTACTCTTGAATAGATTTCCTTCTATTTCATCATTTTAAGTTATACGCTCTTACCATCTATCCACGAACAGCTCCACTGAGTGTCGGACCTGAAACCATCCTCCACGTGTACATCTGAAACAAACACGCCAGAAAAAAGACACCATAACAATACAGGATGACAGCTACAACCAGTACTCCATCTCACAACCCCGAGATCCAACAAACAACTCAAACTGCAACATGTCTAACTGAATTCTCAAACTCTGTCGTACGCCGCCTCCCTCTTGGCATGATCGTGGCTGATCCCGAACGGAAAGTGATCGAAGCTGCTTCCTCTGCTTGTCGACCTCCTTGGCGGCGGCCCGTGCGACACTGGCTGGCTCGTGCCGTGCGGGAAGTTATCCCTGCTCTCCGACCTTGACAAGGAGCGCGATCTGCGTATGGGCATGCCGATCGTGGACGCGCTGGTAGCAAGGAACCTGAAGTGCTCCCGCTCGTCCTCTGACATGTCTGTCCCTCCAGCTGACGGCTGGCAGAGTCCCATCTGGCGAATGAGCGGCATGAGGTACTTGGGCCCGATGGCCTTCTCAAGCTCCACGAAGAGGAAGATGGCGATCATCATGCCCAAGATGCGAAGCCAGGCGATGCCGTCGATGGCCTCGTTGGAGAAGAAGCTGTTCACGCCTGGGGTGTAGGTGAGGAAGACCTGGAGGACGGCGGTGATCAGGATCGAGATCCAGCACCATTTGTTCCCTGTGATGATCTCCATCCTGATACTTGTCGACCTCAGGTACCGGCAGTTGATCGCGTAGGCGATCTCTCCGAACACCAGCATGTTGAACGCCGCAGCCCTCGCCTTCTTGACCCTCGTCGTCATCAGCACCTCGCCTGCCCTCCTGCCCACCCCGGTCTCCTCGTGCCTCCTCATCTCGATGTCGAAGTTCGCCAGCACGCAGGTCACGATGCAGGCGGAGACGAAGAGGCAGTGCCATGCTACCATCCTTCCAAACAGCCTCTTCCCCTTCCTGCGCGGCGGTCGCTCCATGATGGAGTCCTCCGCCGGCTCCATGGCGAGCATCAGCCCCATGGTGACTGAAGTGATCATGTTGACATAGAGCACTTGGATGGCGGTCAGCGGGACAGTCTCGAGCCGCAGCACGTAGGCGAAGAACACGGAGAGTCCCTGGGCAAAGTTGACAGGCATGTTGTAGAGCAGGATCTTGACAAGGTTGTCCCACACTCTCCTTCCCTCCCTCACCGCCCTCACAATCGTAGCGAAGTTGTCGTCCGCCAGCACCATCTTTGCCGCCTCCTTGGACACGTCCGTCCCTGTGATCCCCATCGCCACCCCGATGTTCGCCGCCTTGAGGGCGGGAGCGTCGTTCACTCCGTCCCCTGTCATCGAGCATGTCTGCCCGACCCGCTGGAGCGACTTCACAATCTGGATCTTGTTCTCCGGCGACGCTCGCGCAAACACGTTGCACCCCAGCACGATCTTGTCCATCTCCTCCTCGCTCATCGCGTCCAGCTGCGGCCCAGTGAAGGTCTTCACCTCCGTGCTGGGAAGGTTGGGGGGGAAGATGCCCAACTGCTTCGCTATGGCGGCGGCAGTTTGCGGGTGGTCCCCGGTGATCATCTTGACTTGGATGCCAGCAGTCTTCGCCACCCCGCAGGCCTCGATGGCTGCCTCCCTGGGCGGGTCGAGGATGGCGACGAGGCCGATGAGGGTGAGGAACGGCTCTGGAGCCTTGAGGAGGATGTCGGCGTCCATCTCGTCGGAGACCTTGGAGCGGTCCCAGTCAGCTCGGGCCACAGCAAGGCATCTCAGGCCCTCAGAGCTCATGTCCGCTGCCCGGTCCTCCCAGAACTTGGTGACCAGCGGCTGGGTGCGGTTGACGTCGTCCTCGCAGACCTGGTTCTTGCAGCGGGGAAGGATGCGATCGGGAGCTCCCTTGACGTGGAGGACGAGGGGAGCGTTGGGATCGGTGCTGGTGGCATGCACGCAGCACATGAACTTGTGCTCGGAGGCAAACGGCACAGCGGCCACACGGGGATGCGCTTTCTTGAAGATGTGCAAGTCCGGGATCCCGAGCTTCATTCCGAGTGTCAGCAGGGCGACTTCAGTCGGGTACCCGACAGGGATGTACGTCATCCTCCCATTGATGCTGTCAACGTTGAGGCCCGAATCGTTGCAAAGAACCACCCCTTCAAACATCTGCTTGACCCTCCCCTTGTGCTCTGCAGCCAGCTCTTCTCCCGAGTTGGGGTCCACGATCGTTCCCAGCTCGGGAGAGTACCCTACCCCCTTCACGGGGTACTGCGCCTCCGTCGTCTGCACCCTCTGTACAGTCATCTCGTTCTTGGTCAGGGTCCCAGTCTTGTCTGAGCAGATCACGGTGACGGATCCCAGGGTCTCCACGGCCGGGAGCTGCTTGACGATGGCGTTCTGGTTCGCCAGGAGCTGCATGGCCAGCGCAAGGGAGATGGTGACGACAGCAGGAAGGCCCTCGGGGATGATGGCGACAGCAATGGAGACGGCGGACTGGAACGCAGTGCCGACGCTCTCCTCAGCCATGACCTTGGCCAGGGTGAACGTGACTGCAGCGATCACGAACACGAACAACGAGACCCATCGTCCGAAGATCTCGAGCTGAATCATAAGGTTCGTCTTGACTGACTCCTGCTCACTCACCATGGAGCTGATCTTGCCGATCTCAGCCGCGTCTCCCGTCCCCACCACGATCCCCTTCCCCTGCCCCGCCTGCACCGTCGTTGCAGAGAACGCCATGTTCTTGCGATCTCCCAGCGCGACGGTCTTTCCCCCGCTGATCTCGTGCGTGTGCTTGCTGATCGGGTTGCTCTCCCCAGTCAGCATCGCCTCCAGGATCTTGAGGTTGCTCGTCTCGAACATGCGCAGGTCAGCCGGCACCGCGTCTCCCGCCTTGATCGACACCACGTCACCAGGGACCACGTCGCTCTGCCAGCAGTCAAGTCAGACGCGCAAACTTGTTTGTGGGGCCACTCACAGCTGGGACCTCCGTCGGCTGCCCATCTCGGATGACGGTAGCCTTGGCCGACAGCATGCCCTTGATCGCCTCCGCCGCCTTCTCCGCCTTCCCTTCTTGGATCATACCGATCGTGACGTTGAGGACGACGACGCCAACAATCAGGGCCACCTCGGCGTACTCCTTGAGCACCCCGGACACGATGGCTGCCGCTATGAGGATGTAGATAAGGATGTTGTTGATCTGCAGGAACAGCTTCATCAAGAAGCCTATCTTGGGAGGAGGCGTCATCTCGTTCTTGCCGTACACCTCCAGGCGCTTCTGAGCTTCCTGGTGCGTGAGCCCATCCTTCTTCGACTCCTGCAGCTCCAGGACCTTGTCCACGGTCTCCGAGTGCCAGTACTCCTCCTCCTCCACCTTCACTCCCTCCATCTGAACCTCCTTGCTCATGCTTGTGGTGACACAGCACTCGTGCGAGGAGCCAAGTCGACGAAGCTGCGCAGGCACAAGTCAGCATGAGAGGAGGGGACAGCTCAAATCAGAAATCGAAGTTTGGTCTATTAAAAAGTTGAATTTTTGAGGTGAATTTTGGGATTTTAAGAATTTCAAGTACAAATGGGTCAAGGAGTAAAATTGAAATTTGTTCGCTGCTTGTGTGGGAGGAACATTGAAAGTCGGAGGATCGGGGTGACGGGGAGGACGAGGAAAGAAAATGTTGAGAGCATGCTCGATTTGACATAGAGTAACACGAGATGAGTTGAGGAGGAGGAGCTTGCATGTCGGGACGATGATATGCGAAGAGACAAGATATTCTGTGATCTTTCCAACAAGCAGCACGATGGAGAAGGATGATTCAAAGAGAAGAGACCAAGATGTAAAAGATTCAAGACAAAGGATTATGCTCAAACATGAAGGAATATCATGAAGATACAAATATTTTTCAGGAGAAATCTGATGAAGGGAAAGGGGACCGGCAAGGGAGGAAAGTTGTTATGTGAGGTCGTTCAGGACCATGAGAGGAGAAATAAGTTTGCATAAAGAGCACAGAAATACTCAAGAGGTAGACGAGGCAGGAGAGGGAAGCAGGAGCGCAGGATAGAGAAGAGAAGAAGAGAACAGGAATCAAGCTCAGGGATGAACGTAAACTTCCAGAGGAAGCGGGATAGAGGAGCAAGGCGTAGAAGCGGGAGGATGCGAGGAAGCGGGAGGAGCGGGAGGAGAACAATGGTGGAAAGGATGTTGTGTGACGGGAGGAAACCAGGAGGAAGAAGCTGCAAGAAGCAGGAGGTAGGCAGTCATAAGCGTGTGGGCGGGTCAGGGAGGGACCGGGGGGGCAGCAAATATATTTCGACGAAATGGGGGGTGGGGTGCCCGTAGGGATCAAAATGGAGGGGTGCTCGTGCGTGATACCCCTGTTTCTTGCTCGGGTGCTTCTTGCAGGTGAGGTAGGGGTAGCTAATGGTACCGGTTATGAGTACTGTAGCAATAGATGAAAATTCGGTCAAATTTGCCAAATATCAGGGTGGGGTGGTCAAAATGGCGATTCTCCAACCTCCAGGGTGGGAAGAAGGATTTTACAAGAGGCAAATGGGGGTGGGGTAGTTTGGGGGGACCCTTGTTTCGAAGGTCAAAGTACAGGGGTTGCTCTGACGAAAATTGGGGGGTAGGGGTGTTGAAAATGGATTCAAAGTGGGGTTAAATATGGTTCAAAGTAGGGGTACCTTCAGTTGTAAATGTGTTTGACATGGGGTGGGTCCAATTGATCAACACCACCACTCCTCAGATCGTACGACTGTGAAAAAAGAATGTGGGGTGGAGGCTGTGGAATTAGGAGGGGTACTGGGTGTAAAATACCCTACCCCCTGGATAATTTGCATAAGAAAATATCCAGCAAAGGGTGGGTAGAAAGAAAATGGATGGTAAATTCCACTGGTGGGGTGGCATGGTACCTCTCTGGTCATTAGTATTGTACCGGGTTGGAACGAGGAATCATCGGTAGGGGTGTATCATCACCCATAGAAGAGAGGTCAAAAGGAGGGGTCTTCAATGTTGTAAAGTAAAATTGGTGGGTGGAGGTGGCCAGGGGGTGTAGTACATTGCCGACGGGACTTTGGGGTTGTCCGCGAGAGGCGGTGAGTTCAAGATGAAAGTGGAAGCAGGGTGGGGTACGAGGGGAAAGGGTGGGTAGTCGATGGATACATCTTGAGGGGTGGTGCAGGATATTTGTGCTCAAGTAGAGGGGTGGGGGTGATACGAGGACAATAGATACAAAAAGCTTGGTGGGGTGGGTGAGAAGTGCTGA